ACGGATCCGGACCAACCCGTTTTGCCGGAGACTTCCTCACGAAAATGATGCAAACATGGCTGCGGCCTAGGCGCGGCGAGGGGCCCGTGCACCAGGGGCCCCAACAATAATTATTCTTTAGAAGTAATAATGTTCAACAACAACAACGGCTCCCGCCTGATTCTCCTTTACAATTTATTACACAGTCGCGCTGTTGCGCGGGACCTCCTCGCCACTTATGCAAAAATCGCATTCTCGTGCGAGACAATCTCGCAATGCATTAAAGCGTCGCGCCTGCAACCTGTAGGAATCACGCTGTCGCTCAGGCCTTCTCATTTATATTCCGGAATCGCGCTATCGTTCGAGATTTCCTCGCGATTCATGTTCACTCTTCGGCAACCCGCTTGCTCGACCTGGCCGCTTGGGCCCGCCTGCCCGACCCGCCCGTTAGGGTATACTCGCCCGATCTGCCCGTCTGGTTCTGCCACATGTTTTCTCTTTTTAGCCCCCCTCCTGCTGCTCTCTTTCGTGCTCAATCCTCATCCCTCCCTCTTCCATCCGTCCTCTCTTTCACTGTTTCAGGGTCTGCGCCAACTACACGCGGCAGGTGGGGAACATATACTTCCAAGTGGGTCCGATCGAGAACGAATTGGAGGGGACAGAGGTTTTGGAACATACGTGTTGAATGGCATGTGAGCAGGCAAGAGCGAGCAACCTTAAATTTGTTATTTCGATGTTTCGAATTGTTGTTGTTGTAAGCCGTGGGCCAGAGACACAGTTTGGTGACACCCCACTTTCCATTTTAAGAAAACAGGGTGCGAACTCCAAGATAATCGCTTTAATTGAAACACTACGATGGTTACCCGACAGGGGGGGGGTCAGCACTACTGATTCTTCAGCCATGAGAAATCAAAATGCAGAGTTTTTGTATGGGATTGCAATGATGGGTTCTAGGACGGGCGTTACCAGGAACCTCTGGGGAGTTTGCGTCGCCTGCGGCTTGCTTGGGAAAGTATTGCTTCCTAGTTCACAACCAGAGAGATCCGTAAGGACAGTGCCAGAGCCCTGCGAATTCCGATGGAATTCTGCAGGGCTCCTTCCACTGACTTCCCATTGGGTTTGGGTGAGCCCAAAGGAATCTTTTGGAATCCTGAATCCATCGTGTGACATCCCTACGGGATCCTGCGGAACCCAAAGGAATTCTTTACGCTTCGCGTATCCCCACCAGCCCATTTCAAAACAGCAACTCTTGCGAAGCATGCCGACAGTCGTGTTTTTCAGGCGTGTTTCCGCCTGCCCCAGCATACCTCCCCTGTTCTTCCTTCCTCCCGCCTCCTTGTACATCCTCCTTGTGGTGGGAGCGGGAGAAGGACGAGGCGGAGGAGGAGGGAGAGAAAGCGCTCCTCGTGGTTTGAGTCGTTTGGGGTTTCTTGTCCTGGTGTGAGTCGTTCGGGCCCTTCTTCCTGGTGTGAATCGTTCGGGCCCTTCGTGATGTGAGTCGTTCGGGCTCTTCGTCCTGGTGTGAGTCGTTCGGGCTTCTCGTGGTGTGAGTTGTTCGGGCCCCTCGTCGTCGTGTGAGTCGTTCGGGCCCCTCCTCCTGGTGTGACTCGTTCGGGCTCCTCGTGGTGTGAGTCGTTCGGGGCCCTCGTCGTGGTGTGAGTCGTTTTGGGAGCCTCTTGGAGGCCTTTTGGGGCGTCTTGGGGGCCTCTTGGCGGCTCCAGGGGCTTCCAGGAGCGTCTTGGGTGCCTCGGGGGAGCCTCTTGGGGCCTCTTGGGGGCCTCTTGGGCGCCTCTTGGCAGCTCCAGGGCCTTCCAGGAGCGTCGTGGGTGCCTCGGGGGAGCCTCTGGGGGCCTCTTGGGAGCCTCTTGGGGGCATCTTGGGGGCCTCTTGGAGGCCTCTTGGGGACTCGTGGGGCTCCCTGTGAGGGGTCTGGGAGGAATCTTGGGGCCATCTGTCGGGGGATCGATCACAGATGAGGAGAGCATTTTTTAGCCCTCCCAGGAGTCGAAAAAGACTCCTCTGACCACCCGCGAGGCGCCCTCTCCAGGCCCAGGGGGAGGGGGTAGGGGGAGGGGTAAACCCCTCCCCGAAGGGGAAGAAGGAGGGTTGAGAACAGAGCGGGCTCTCTAAACCACTCACGCCCAAAGGGCTGGTGGGATTCTTGGGATTCCGAAGGAACTCTTTGGATTTCTGAGGAAACCTGGTGAGTCAGAGGAACCCTTAGAAATCATCAGGAACCCGGACAAATCTTCGATCATCCAGATGAGATCTGATGAACCCTGGAGAAGCTGAAGTTTTTAAGGAACCGGGGGATGTGAAGGAGTTCTGATGGACGTAGGGGATCCGGGGGAAGCCAGCGGAATTCTGAGCAATCCCGATGATTAGTGAAGGATCCGAGGGGGTTCCGGAGGAAACTTGGAAATTGTGGAGGATGCCTTACAGACCCCGAGAACTCCAGAGGGGGCTTCAAGACTTTGGGGGGTTTCTTGGGAATCCCGAGGAACGCTCAGAACCCGAAAAG